GTCCCATTGGTAAAGTCCAGCCGCGAGGATGCTGAAGTCTCCGTTGTCCAGCGGAGACGTAAACAGCCGGTCCAAGTCAGCTAGTATCGAGAACTCGATAGAAGCCGGCATGCAAACCCTCAGAGAGCAACCACATCTATAGTGTTGAGCGAATCAGAGACGAAGAAGTAGACCCCAAGCTGTTATGTCTCAAAGCACAGACGACGGCGTGGCTCCGGCAGCGAGCTTAATCCCGAAAGGCCAAGACAATATGAGCGCTAATCTGCGTGAAATCGAGCGCATACCTAGATTGACGACCTAGCCACGTCGGATTGGTTGGCTTGCACCAAGCCCATGCAACAGGGGCATGTGGATTTCGACCGCCACAAACCATCTGCACTGTGACAGCCTGGCTGACTCAAGTAAGTCAGCTCAGGACGATGTAGTGATGGCGCGATATGAGGCCATACCGGTATTAGTTCTTGTACGGATCGCTCTTGGTCTGCGGGGGACGGGACGCAGGGAGAAGAAGTGCTTGACGGGCGTCTGCAGTGTGAATGTACTAGACACCAACGATGCCGAGAAAAAGCAATTATGGTGTCGGTGGTAAGGTAAAAGAATTGGTGGTGGTTTCGAGGATCGCTGTCAATGAAATCATTTCCGTTCCTTGACCTGGTCAAGACCCCCAGCTCCACGTTTGTTTGAGTGAGATGGAAGGGCACCCCCAGAAAAGCCGAGATTGGGTATGCGCACCAGCATCTAGGTCTTCAATATTGCGGAGGTCGGATACGGATGCCCGGTGCAGCCTTGTTCTTGAACACGGAGCGGCATCTTGCCTCATCTAGATTGAAGGATCAGCAGCGGACGAGGGAGTGCGGCCCTGCGTGCTGACTGCCGTTTCACAATCGAGTCTCGCTTGAGAGCTCCCTGTGTACGGAGCATTTGACGGTCCTTGGCCCTGCACCGGAACACAAACAGACGGAGCTGAGGCTTGTGTCGCCAATCAAGTGGGTTCCACGATGACTCCTCCCTAGACTCCGTGGCTGGAGCGCCTGCGAGCTTGTCTCGAGCGGCAGGACGTGCGTGCGTGCTCAAGCCATTCGCATTGTGACTTGTTGGACGGAATTCGGATGGTTGGAAAATAACCCGAGATGTTATTGCTCCCAAGAGTTGCCGGCGGAGGAAACGCAGCCGATTTTTGTCTTGCAGTGTCTGGTAGCAGAAGGCGGCTGCTGGGATACATTCTTCTATTCGTGTTTGTTTATAACGCATCGGTATATCTTCGTCTTTGATAAGTGTACGCGTGTGTTCCGCTTCCCGCTATAGGCGATAGGTAGTCACAGTGTTTGAACACTCGTAGGTATTTGTCTCTCCCTCCGCCACCATCTCAGCCTGCTAGCTGTTGTCCATTGCTCCTTAGGCACGGTTGCTGTTACTGGCTCCTGGGCTCTTGCCCATCTGATGATGGCGATGCTGACCACGATGCTTGGCCCGGCTGTTTCTCGTTTGCAGTAGCGGACACACTTGGCGCCTGGAACCGGGTTGGCCAAGTTGGCCCTGACTGGGAATGAGAAGGGCGAGAGACAAACAAGGTTTGGGAATGTCGCAGAAGCGAACCGCTGCTCTTAGCACGGTGTATTATTAACGTGGTGTTATACCGGGGCCGTCGCCATGTCGGTAATACGTGTAATGCAGAGAGCGAAAGAGCGTGGGGTATCCGAAGGATAGCGTCGCGGAGATTCGAATAGTCGGGATGATATTCCCAGGGTAAGACTGAGATTCAGTATGTATTCGTACGAATATGGGCAGGGACCGACGACGGACAAGGGCCAAGGACCGAGCTGCAAGCCTTGAAGTTGGACGGGCGGACCAAGAGTTATGGAGAGAGGGAACGAGTTGGACGATGAGATCTGACAGATGCGCTAGCCCGGCTGCGGTAAGCGTTTTCCGTGATCGATGCAGTTCCTGCAGACCGCTTGTTTCTGTTCTCAGATTGATGGCCTGAGGCATCATGAGCGATATTCAGGCAGCTACGGGTCATTGGTACACTATGCATGGGAAGGGGGAAGGAAGCATCCGGTGGGACCGCGGCAGGAGTGGCAGGGAGCAGGAAAGTGAGGCAGTCACGGGCTGGCTGAGGTGGATCTATCACGTGATCTATACGTCCTCTATCCAAGACCCAGCGAGAAGCTGGGAGGGCGGCAACCAGCCACCAGCACCAGCCACCAGATAGCCACCGGTCGTGACCATCTTGCAGTTGTCTGCGCCTTCTTTTTGTCCCTCCTTCTTCCTCTCTGCCCCTTCCCGTTCCTTGAATCCTTCCTGCAAGTGTGACTTCAGACCGGAGAGGGCGCCTTGTTTTCTGATTGGTCAAGAAGGCTGTTGGGGATAGTCTAAAGTAGCACATGATTGGTTAGAGAATCGATGGGGCGGGGTGGTAAGGAAGGAAGGAAGGAAGAAACTCCAACGAACACCAAGAAGAGTGCCTAGAGGAAGGACCTAACTACCTACCTTAGCTACCTGTCTCCATCGTCATCTTCCTCAATCTCACCCCTTGCAGGACTGCACATCGTTTTGCTTCTCGGTAGTACGGTATGCTGCAATTCTCTCCATCACAATCAGTGGCTTGCGGTCGGACGCCGTAGCCGTGCTCGAAGAGTTTCTGTTACTCTTACACTCCGCTGTCTTCGGATATTTCGGTCTGCTTACGGTTACAGTGTCGCATAGACAAGCAAACCATCGTGATCGACGAGAGAACCACTTTCACGATACTAGGGACTGGCCTACGGATACACTATGTTCCTCCTGGACTGTCATCGCAGGCTCCATCGAATCCCAGTCTGACATTATCACATCAAGCTCGCTACCAATCGACCGGCCTTTATCTTAGCAGTGGCATCATAGCCTGCCACACCACTATGAAGGAGCGCATCATGAATGATGAGTCTCTGCTTTACCAACTTCCTGAGCGGAATCCCGTCTTACCGTCCATCTACCGCTAGGCGGCACGAGTAGTTCGACCGAAGAGACAGACGCCCGTGGAATCAAGACTTAGACTCTGCCTGGACCAAAACCCAGAGCCCGGGAGGCGCGCGCTGGTTGCTCTGCTCAGCTGTGCTTGCAAACTTGCCGATGGCCACACTGGCGGGGGAGTTGGGACTTCACAAGTTCACACACACACACACACAGACGATGCTACACTGCATCGTGAACCACGGGCGCTATGCTACAACTGGACGCCCGAAATTGCCTATTGGGCTGGCGAGATCAGCCTCTGCAGACCATCATATGGGCCCCCCGTGGCCCCTTCACCATTATGATCCATCATGATCCATCATAGCTCCGTCGTCGACAGCCTCACTCGTCGGGAGCTTGCGCCCAGGGACCCCTGTACAGCGACCCCATCAAGTCGTTACGAGGCTGCTCTCGCTCGCCTGCAGCCTCTGCATTTCTTCCATTCCCGAATCGCCCGGACTGGCCAGTGGCACGCACACATAGCCCATGGACTACGCTAGAACGGCACAAGGTGACAAGACTCCAGAGACGCTGCCACTGCGCACCACACAGACCACATACTTTTTGACACCACACCATCACGACCATACCACCCATGTCTTGTCGACGTTCGACTCTCTCTCAAGTCTCACCCACACTCTCAACAACCAGCTCTCTCTTTCGCGGCTCGCCTGCATCGCTGTGCCAGAATGACACACGATCCTGGCCTCAGGCATGACTGCTTCAACCTCAAGCAACCCTGACAGCGAATCAACCCCAGCCAGTCCCTCCCCGTTCTGCCCGTTTACCGCTCCGAGCCACACAGACGTGCAGCATATTGCTGCAGACTGCAAAGACCTATGCATCATACGCATCCAAGCAATGCAGCATTGCGGCGTTCATCAAGCCTGGATTGCGGCGTGCAGCGTCACGGCGTGCCTAGGGTCAAGTGTACGGCAGATTCCAGAGAAACGAAAAAAAAAAAGAGAAAAAAGAAAGAGAGAGACCTCACAACATCAATCTGCTTGTCCATTCAGCGCCCGGCACGCTCAGGTTGCTTATCCACTTTCTTTTCATGGAACTCAATCCTGGCCCGCCCATTCAAACGGTCGTTCGCAATCTCAGGCCCATGTGCGACCCATGACCACGTTGGCCGCCGTCACTGGCCGGGATCAAAAGCCCATTCCAGAGGCAAACCGAATCCTCCTTCGCCCGCCCTGAGTCTCCACACGCACCGAGTCCAGGCCTGCTGTTCCGCTTGCTGCTCCGTAGATGCTGGAGTTGCCGCTGCTTCGTCTCCGGCCAAGCTGGCCACGGGCACGCGAACCCAAGGCCGACATGGAAAGATTTGGCCGTAAATTTCGAGGCACCACACTCCGCAGCTCATCATTTGCAGAGAGGCTACCGTGTCCTCGACTCCGCCAGCCTTTACCTACTGCGTATTCGTACCGAGTCTGAGTGATGCCTATGGCGCTAGATCCGACCCCACGGTCCTGAACCCGCTCTTACACGTCTAATCATGCTCTCAGTCTCGAGTCTACTGTCATGCTCTGATGAGACCTCAGAGGCTCAGACGGGCTCGGATTGACCGGCCAGAACGGCCCACAACCAGTTCGAAAAGAAAAATATCATGGCAATGATCCGTCCGTCGTCAAGCGAACTTGGTCTCCTAATCGAGTCGGTCGCGGACTGCCAGCAACCAGACCAGCAGACATAGCCAGCCAGCACATAACTGTGCACCCGCAAATGTGAAAACCCCGTCGTTACTGTTTGGCAAAATATGCAGTCTACCCGGCCATTCGTATCGACTCGACCATACACAGTAGGTATAGAGCACTTAGCTCGGCACCAACTACTTCAATAGTCGCTTGTGCAGAACATTACTCATTGGCTCGCCTTACTAGCAGTCATGGTATTGACGCAAGCATCCTAAAGTGCTTCTCAATAGATGATTGGCCGTATCTATCCTTGTCGACCAATCATGGCGCTACAGGTGATCTACACTTCACAACTGTTGCTAAGAGAGAATGTGTGTGGTGTACGTACTCCGTAGTTGGTGCAGCCACAAGGTGGCCACCAGGTGGAAGATGACCGCTTGCGAAAAATCCGGAAGCCAATCAATGCTCCCGCGAAGGATGGATGGGAAGCGACGGGCATCCTGTGAGCCAGAGCCAGATCTGCTTAGCATTGATCCAGTCACCAGCCTGCGAGGCAGCATCTGCAACAGAAAGGCTGACCGGCCACCGAAGCCCACACTCATCAACTCCCGGACTTTATGCAAACAGCTTGCCAAGCGCCACAAAGGCTCCGACGTCAGCTACGAGACCATGACAGTGAGCCAATTAGGTCGCGGGTGGCACTATTGTGACTGGGCATCCCAAGTCGCCCGCTCTCAGTCGGTGTTTGGCGGTAGTCACAGATTACCCTGCTACCAGCTCTACCCGGTGTCAACAGCGTCTTTTTCGACCTCGAACCACGCGGCATTGATGATAGCTGTGGCTCAAAGTACGGGGCTCTGCAACAAGCCATAGCATACCACGTCGCTAGACCAGGCCGAATACTCCCAAGTCGCGGTGAAGGAAGACGTGTCTCATTCGATCATGGTTCGACTGAGATTCCATGCCCGGTTCCGACGTTCCCCCAAGGGGGTTTTGTTCAAGCGTGAGGCTTTCCTCCATTATCCTACGAAAACGGGGACGTTCGCCCTGCGGCAGGCGAGACAAGGGCAGGCTGGATAGAGAGAAGAATGGAAGAAGCTGCACATCACAGGTCACAGGAGGCCTATGACGATGGCTCACTCAGTATCGCTTAGGGAGGGCGAGCGGTGGCAGCAAGAGCACGGAGCAGTCAGTCACCAACAAGGCACCGGGCCTCTGATTGACAGCGAGAAAGCTGAGAAGGGAAGTAAGTGAAGGGAAGGGAAGGGTAGAGCAACGGACAGTCTGTGTTCCCTCCGCCAGGGTCGTCCCATGAGTGCTTAGGAGGCGACGACTCACGCACGCCCCGTTTCTTCGACACCCATCGACCATCCGTTTCGTCTGACACACTCAGCCAGTAGCGGTGGCAGGGGTATATGGAGCACGGCTGGGGGTGGTGGATAAGAATCAACACACGAGAAGTGAGGGGTGACACTGCTCACACCCACTCACACCTCACACCCCCTTGGGACGGGGCCACTTTACCTGGTGCGTCAGACAATACCTGCTCGTAAATTGCGCAGAGACGCCAATCACGACTGCTAGTGGCATCCTGGTGGCTGCTCCAGCAGAGAAACTCTGCCGGTCACTTGTCCACGCCTGGGCACGACCACGCCCCCTTTGGCTCCACGCCCCCTCGGCCCTCTACCTACTGCGTAGCTCCAAGCCAGGCTCTCAGGCCTCAGGCTCTTCTATCAACTCTAACCCACTGGCCCGCTGCTCATGTCGAACTCAAGAATAGACGGTGCATTGGTGGATCCATGGCTAAGACATGGCAAGCCGCTCATCCCTGCTCTTCTAATATCGAAGACGACTGGGGTGTCCTTGGAGCCACCGGCCATGGTGGATGCTCCACGCAACGCACTTTGACATGGGTACGTAGCCGTAGCGCTAACATCATTTCGCCTCGTTCCTCATCGGGGTGGTGGCAGTCATTATCAACCACCCATATCCCACCACCGTACAACTGGCTCGGCTTGTCTCGAGACTTCAATCATCAACTTTTCCACCACGCTCCTTCCCGTCGACCTCTTCACATCTCTTCACGATCTTCGGGAAACTGGAATCTCAGTCGCCCTTCCACCTCCGCCTCACAACAGACACCGACCTTCACCGACCTCAGCTCGCTACCCATCCCGCACCAGGCGACAATTACCGTGTTTGACTCGTTGACTCGACGTCTTGCACTTTCGACCTTTTCTACTTCCTCAGACCGATCCATTCATAGGACTACCAACCCATCTCAGGCCGTAGGATAATAACCCAGGACTATTACTTTGGACTCCCAGGACATACCAACCCAAAGGACAGGCCGTTTCTACTTTTTTCTTCTTCTCTTCCACTTTGGATCTCGCCCTCGAGACCCATTACAAACCGCCAGAGAAAGGATTCCCATTTGGACCCGCAAAAATCACATAACATGCAGCATGTATCAGGATTTGGCTATCCCACCCCTCCCGCGTCGCCGGTGTACGACAACACAAAGTGTTCGATCCAACAACCCATCACGACAGCACCTCACTGCCAGGCACGATATGTCCCGCTAACACCAGAGGCGAGACTCGGAAGGTTTCTGGAGGGCAAGTTGCAGTTGCAAACCATTCTTGGTACTGGCGCATATGGCGTCGTGTATTCCGCAGTGGATGTCAAGACCGGAGTCCGTTACGCCGTCAAGTGCCTCAGCAAATTCAACCCAGATGGAACCCCATTGGATCGTCGACAGGTTGCCTTCCAGAACCGAGAGATTCGTCTGCACTACCTGGCGTCGGCCCACCCTAACGTGGTATCGATGCTCAAGATTGTTGATGACCCGGATTGCATCTATGTTATCTTGGAATATTGCCCGGAAGGTGATTTGTTCTTCAACATCACCGAGTGCGGTCAGTATGTCGGGAACGATGACCTCGCCAAGAGAGTCTTCCTGCAAGTATTGGATGCCGTGGAGCACTGCCATTCCCTCGGAATCTACCACAGAGACTTGAAGCCGGAGAACATTCTCGTTTCGGACCAAGGATCAACAGTCAAGCTTGCCGATTTTGGCCTCGCAACCTCATCCGACCGGTCAGAGGACTACGGATGCGGCTCAACATTCTACATGAGTCCAGGTAGGCCATCCACTCCCAGGAATTTTCCTACTTATATCAAGCCCCCTGAACACCACTAACATGTCGCTTCTTTCCTTTTATTAGAATGCCTGGATCACTCCGCCCGGAGACCTTTCTACTTCTGCGCACCAAATGATGTCTGGAGCCTCGGAGTCATCTTGGTCAACCTGACCTGCGGACGCAACCCATGGAAGCAAGCATCCTTTGAGGATTCTACTTACAGGGCTTACACCCGATGCCCGGAAACTCTGAAGAGCATTCTCCCCGTGTCGGATGAACTGAACGACATCTTGGGGAGGATCTTCACCCGTAACCCGGATCAGAGGATTACTCTTGCCGAGTTGAAGGCAAGAATCCAGGCTTGCTCCATGTTGACCATCCCGGCGACGCCGACAGCTGTGCTTTCGACTACCCAGGTTCCGCATGAGCATACTACCGAATACGTTACTAGCGAGGACACGATTGTCGACGACTACGATAATGCCCTCTCGCCTGCTTCCTCATCCTCGGACGAAGGATCTACCTGTTCTTCTGACGAGGGCTCGCTCACCTCAAGTGGCTCGACCATCGATGACCTTGATGAGGACTTCCTTCAGGAACAGCAGGAGACTATGGCATGCCATACCCAAACATTCGAACCAGAGGATACCGGAGCAACATACTTCTCCACACAGGACTATATCCCTCAACATTACACTGGCCCCGTACCATCCCAGCTTGCTGGACCTGAGTCATTCCGTGTCCAGATGCCTGTACCAACATCGGCTCCTCTTCAGGCTCAACTGCAAGCGCCCAGCTGTCCATCCAAGTCTTTCGTCCAGTTCTGGTGGGGAGATGTGTTGAAGTATGCTCAACAGGCCCCTGCTATCCATCCTCACGTCCCCTTCCACCACCAGGTTCCCATCTTATCGCACCCTCAAGGCTGCTACTAGGAACAATCATCCGTTACGCCAATTCATGTCCAGGACCACCCCAATCCAACGTATCCTGGAGGACATGGCGACATCAACTCAAAAAAACAACAACTAATCAACGTTCATCCTCGTGGGCCATCCATGAGGATACTTAATTCGTTACGAGACACGTGGACCATATTACCTTTTGGACTTATCTTCCCGGAATGGAATCTCCAAAAGTTGTGCAAAAAAGGACCGGAATTTCTCTACTACGCAACGGCGCTTGTAAACTTGTCGGAGCGGTTTTTTCTTTCATTGTTTATTCTTTCTGTCTTAAGCGCGGAGTTGGGAACTGGAAAGCAAAGAGTGATGGTGTGTCGATGTCGAAAACTATGGAAAGCATATCAGGCGCAGACGGGGACAAAGACAAAGAGGCAGGAATTCTTCTCATGATTTTTCAGGAGGGCGGAATATTCTATTCTGACGCATTGATGCGCAAACGGCTTGGGGAAAAGAGCTTTCACAGGGCTACTTTCCTGCCAACCGTTTGGATGATACCAGATTCTTCCTTTTTTTTTCTTTTTTCTTTTCTTTTTTTGGGATGTGTTTGGGCAACTACGGGAGAGAGGGATTCTGTTCCCTCAAAGTTGAGGAAAAGACGGTTTAGACAATACCTGGGCCAAGAACCCAACCGTCAGCGGATATGTTCGCTGAACGGAGACTCGAACTGGGACCAAAGCCCTCGAAACGAGTACAGGCTAGGGATAACGGCCAGAAAACAACTGGCGCCTACCAATGAATACAAACATTCAAACACCCCAAAACAAAGCCTTTCCACGTGTACCTGTGAATTATCACTACTATTGAGAGCGATTTACTCTATCCGAAAAGAGCCCGACTACCGACCTTGCCAAAATGTTGCTTAGCTAAGGCGAAGGTGGTGGTGTTGGTCGGAAGCGGCGGGATGAGGTAGTCTGTGGTTCTCTAACCTTCTACGTAATGGCCTAAAAAGGGTGACATTCTTTTTTTTTTTCCCACCTTCGGTTACGGTTCTTCCAGAACGTCTCGAATAATTCCATTCAGGTTTTACGAGGGGAGAAAAGGTTGAGGGAAACCCTCCCATTCTCCGAGTCTCTGACAACTTTGAGGGATGGTTATTCCCTACTTGAGTAATCTACGGTCTACCTTGTATTCTGTAGTTTAAAACCGCCCAAACGCGCGAGGCAGTGAGGTGGAGGAGAGGGAATGCGAACCCCTCCCCTTCTGAGGAGGTGTCCCCCCAAGCCTTTTCCTCACAGGCAGGGGAGAGAGCCATGGTCTTGTTCGGCTTTACTGTGTAAAAGGCGGGTTTGTGTCAAGCGGGCGGTATCCCTGATGAAATGTTCACTTTTCTAGGACTGACGGTCCTTCTTCGACAAGCCTCTTTTTTCCTTTTTTTTTTTTTTTTTTTTTTTTTTTTTTTTTTTTTTTTTTTTTTTTTTTTTTTTTTTTTTTTTTTTTTTTTTTTTTTTTTTTTTTTTTTTTTTTTTCTTTTTTTTTTTTTTTTTTTTTTTTTTTTTTTTTTTTTTTTTTTTTTTTTTTTTTTCCCCCCCTCTCCCCCGCTATTGCCTTTACACGATGCGCCCATCTCCCCTCAAAGAAAACAAGGTGCACACCTTTTGAAGTGTGCTAGGAGGAAAAGGGAAAAGGGTGTTGCTTCCCCACAAAAAAAAAAAAAAAAAAAAAAAAAAGTAGTCATGAGAAAGTGCAGCTTTCGAATGGATTGTGCAACTATGCAAACTGACTTAGTGCATGGCAACTGCGTCGCTCCATAGAAAGAGCACGTTCCAACAGACCAACACTAGAGGGGGGGGGGATGAAGATCACACACACTCCAGCTTTTCTTCTTTCTGGCTGTGCCCGCAGTAGTAAGCACGTTCTAAGAAAGGCAGGGCTGTCGAAGGGGGATGGATTCAATGGATCGGTGGTTTCTGGTGGTGGTCACTTCTGGCGCTGGTGCCCATTCTCGAAAGGGGGGGCTGGCTGGCCTCGCACGCTTCGCTGTACTGGTTTCCGCGATGGTGCTGCAGACATGATTGGACGGTGAGCACTCTGAAAAGATGTGGGAAACGGTCGTCGTTCGCCTTGTTTTCGGTGGTGCGGGTGGTATGGGTGAGTTGCGTCGAGGTGGTCCGTTCCATCCTCCCCTTCCAAGTCTTGTCGTATCCCTAGTTCT